CAAAGCTAATTTATTTATACGATCAAATCAATCAAGTCTTCAATCTTTGACTTTGATCTACATGTGGTATCATTCCTGTTACCATTTACATGTTTATCTACCTTTTATTTTGACCTACTTTCTGGTTGCTGTTGTTCGTAGACCAGTAATAACTGGTTGACCGCTGGGAAACTCTTACTGGTTCTAGTTACCAACAGTTACCAGGAATAAAATCACAGATGGAAGTGAGTCAACACTGTGTGACTGATCCAGCTGGTTGATTACCTTCATATTTACTTTGCAATTATACAGCGACACTGAACGACCTTTTTATTTACAAAAATGAGTAATGTCATTCTTGCGGGAAAGAACGTCAAGGTTTCCCGAAAGTAACCAGTTGGTCCAGATTCCTTGGATTGTTCTATGAAGCAACAGTCAGAGGAATTAAATCTGTCTCAACTACTATAAGTGAGGCATAGAAGTTGTATAATGAGAAAACATCTGTTTTCTTGTTGTATAACAGTCGTAAATATTTAAACATATTTACTCTGCGGAAATTCATGGGAACTTTTTAGGCGGCTTTGAGAATCATGGCCCAAATACCAACATTTTTACCTTTTTCCTTTATTTTACTGATAATAATTAGACATTTTGTCAGTATAATAACTTTTATTAATAAGTACATCAATTATTCAAACATGTTTTTATTGAAAGAGCCAGTATTTCCCGACTTTCAGTGAAATCACCACAGGGTCCCAGTGTTGTGACCAGCAGTGGAGTTTCAATACCACATGTTCAAACATTCAGTATTTTCGAACCATAAATGTTGCTTATGTAGTTTATTAGCTAATAAACTGTAAATTATATTCTATTTCCTTTTATATTGGTTGTGAACCAGGACTTACACAATTCTAACATATTTTGAAGCCTCACACCAGCAAATTCTCATACTTTGCACCAATTACGTTACCCAAAATGCAAACGGTCACAGACTGATGCAAGCGTAGACAAAAAAAGACTTGTATGGCAACAGATTGTTCACTCGCATACAGAGAAAAACATTCATGTAAAGAGGTAGGATCATCTCTTCATGAGAAAGATGGCAGAGGTGCAGCATATCTTAAGTCATCTACTAAAAATGTATTTTTTTCTATCTTTCTGCAGGTGTAGAAGAAAACTTTATGGGTGTTGATGTGTATTCTCTCTCCTTCTCTCCCAATCAATTGAATTTACTTGTTTAGCACATTTCAGCAACAAGCATTTCAAAGTACTTTATGTCATACAAACACAAAGTCACCATTTGAAAAAAACATTTATCGAGTGCCATCATCAAAAGCATCAATACGCATTAAATACGTTCCTTTTATTATGGTCCAAAAACATAACTGAACAGTTGGGTTTCTAGTCCAGATTTAAAGGAACTTGGTGTTCTCTCCTTTATTTCCATTTAAACCTTTTTCCCACTTTTTTCCCCTTCCTTTCTATTCCACCTCTGTGTTCATTAGACCCAAAGCAATTTCTAATGTAGTTTCATGTATACCAAGCTTGTGAAAGTAAATCTGTTGGGATTAAACACACAGTAATCCTGACATTATTTTGTATTATATCACAATACATATCGCAGGATTAGAAAAAATCTCTATTAGTTTATCCCAATATCATACAGCCCTAATTTGGACCTCAAATCAAATTCTAAGAACCTCTTTCTTTCTCGTAGAAATTGTTTACTGCACATGTGAAACCACGTTTACTTCCAGTAGAGTATGAGTATATAAAAGAAAATTACTTTCAAATGTTTGTTGTCGCAGTAGTGGAAAACTGGTCCAAATTAAGGCCTGGTTGGTATGTAGACCACTTGGTACCCACAAAGAGGCAGATCCAGAAAAATGAGATCTACAACAGTTTGAATCGTCAAAGGGGCAAAATGGCCGCCAACAGAATCGATATACTGATGATACTGAAGCTGTCATTAGCTTATTGAAGCTGATAAATCATCACCAGCTGACTAGTTTTTCTAATACACCACAGATGGACGCTGTTGAGTCTATGAGGAATGTAGACGTCCATTTCACAGCCGAGGTGGTTTGAAGTTTGAGGTCAAAGTAGCACCATCAGAGCCATGAATGGAAAACAGTCTCCTCTGTCTGTGTGCGTAAAATACAGTCAGAGAAGAGGGCATGTTGTCTTCGAGTTTGGGAATCTCAGGAAGTGCTTTGTGTTCAGGAATGAGGTGAGTGGGAGGGAAAAAATGGTTGGTATTTACACTGAAACCATGTTGGGGGTCCCAAATTTGCTTTGAGGGGGCGGATGACTCAAACATCTTCCATGAACACAACCACACAACACAGAGGGATGTTTCCATCACTTCAAAGAACATTACAATGCTTGGACAAACCACACATCTAACCAAAACCTTCAGCGAAACTTCCTCCTCAGGCCCTTTATCTTCTGAGTATCAACAAACCCAGACAGATTATTGTTAAGATTAAAAAAACTTAATTTATCCCAAATGAAGAAATAAAGGAGCCAAAGGAGTGTTGTGTATGAATTTGTGCTTGAATTTAGGATTAAAAAGTTTACATGTTTGAATTTTGGACTTGAGAAAATTAACAAGGAAGAAATTATCAAAGCTCATTTTAAAGATCCAAAGAAAAAAATATTGAAATGAGGGATGACTCAAACCTGACAGGTCAAAATAGCAGACCTTTCTTTTCCACCAAAAAGCTTAGGTTTGCAAGACGGATGTCCTGAAAAAAATGCCTCGTCTGACACATTTATAAGCCAACAACAGTCCACCGAACAAATTTTGGACTGGACATGGAAACTCTGCTCAGCAACAACATGAAGAGGATGATCTGGGTCCAGAACAGAAATTTGATTAACTGGCAATAAACCCTTACGGTTAAGTGGATCAAAGGCTTTCTAATGGCCTCTCTTTAGAAACCCTCTACAGTTTAGCTCTTCCATTCTCCATTTTCTCAAAGTAAACTGTGTTTTAAGAGGTGTAGTCTTTCAAAAATGTAAATTACACTGAATGTGGACAGCTATTGAGAACAAAATAGCAGGATAGTCGTTGGTTTGTCCTTGGTCAGTATGATATTGTGGGTTTCCTCTTTGTGAGTGAGGTCTAAAAATATATTATAATTGCATGTACTGTGATCTGAGAGGATGTGAGCACTCCACTGGTTTCCTGCTCTAATTTCCAGTCCTTGGCATGTTCCATGTGTAAATAGCTGCTAAGCTAGGTGGACCAGTTTTACCAGTGGCTCAATGCCATTCTCCAACATTTTGCACCCTACAACAGCCACAGTGTTTGTTTCTAATACTTTATTTCTGTTTCCAGAAATTAAATATTTCTGTTGTTCACTTCAGGCTGAGCAGTAACAGATTTTGCATTCATCAACTTGCATTCAGGTTTTAGAAATGGGTTCTTGAAGACCACACTAGTATGTTTGCATACCATCTATACCAAATCTTAAAAGTATATATATTCTTTTTGAACCACAACATACTTTTAATGTGTACTATAATTTTATAAAATAGAAAAAAATTCTGATAAATATGGTCTCACCTCCAAATTATGCGTTCATAATCACATTTCCGCAATTCCATCATCAGCGGAGCAAATCTTTTGTTTAGTGTTTTTATGTGCATTTTCTTAGCTCACTTGGCTTCCCATTAATTAATTTTTCTGGATAAATTCAAAAGAACTAATGAAGAGTATATATCAATTTCTGCAGTAGCTCCAGCCAATTATGGTGTTGATATAGAAGTTTAATGTAACTAACTTTTCTGTTTAGGGCGAGCTCAGCTAACATTTTGGTAGTATTGCACACCACTGTTGGTTCCTCTTATTTTGGTAAAGTTCCAAACTAACACAGTTAAACGTTACAAGAACGAGGATGGACCTTATTGTTTGAAGCCTCCCCTGCCTGATGATGTTTGCATGGTTCTTGCTGTGGTTACATATCCATTGATAAGCCGTAAAAGTGACCTAAGCGTCTAAAAGCAAAAATGCCTCATTTGAAACATTCTTAAGCCTGAAAACGGTTCAAAAAACAATTATGCAGACTGGATACAACAACTCCAGTGACCCACTCAGTAATTGCGTGAAGGGAATAATCTGGCTTAAGGACAGCCATTTGATTTCTTCAAGTCATGAAAGATGGCCACTTCAGCGCAAACATTTTAATTTCAGAAGCATAGTCTTTGAAAAAAAATCTAAATGACACAGAATACAGAAAACTATTGAGAAAAAACGTAGCTAGCCAGTATGATGTTGAGGGTTGTCTCTTTGTCAGGGAGTTTTAAAAATACATTACAATTGCATGAGCACTACACTGGTTTCCTGCTCTAATTCCGGTCCTTGGCACATTCCATGTCTACATAGCTGCTAGGTTGTGTTCACCAGCTACATTCTGTATCCACATCCCTGTGACAGACGTGAAGCTGCCATGTAGCATCTCCACCCAGCCCTCTGACCACCAACAGCAGGCAAGATGGGTGAAGTGTCACAACAACAGAGATGGTCAGAGCAAGAGTCCGACAACAACTGATTACAGGAAGAACTGTACCTACCTCCATTGTCATCGCTATGACATTTGAGTTGGTCTGTTGCAGCAAAGGGTTTTTAGAGGTTATATTTAGATACATACCATCTTCCCAAATCTCCTTGTATCATGTTCTCTTGATGTTTACATTACTATAAAAAGTTTTTAAAAATCCAGATAAATGTTATCTCACTTCCACACTCATCTGTTCATAATTCTGCTTCACTCAACAGTCATCTAGTTTTTGTCTTTTATAATTGTTTATTTGTTTTCATCAAATGACAATCACTTGTCAACATGACCGGCATTTTCCTTCCATTCTGGTAAAGTCTCATTCTCTTACTGTCAAGCCTTACAGAAACTCTGTCTTGAAGCCACTCCTGCCTCTGGAATGAGGCAGAGCTTGAAATGCCATCCCAGCTCTATATCTCCTGATGAAGTAGAGCAGCTTTAGTCATTTCTCCTCACTAAACTGTCTCACTGTAACTGCGTCTGACACAGAAAATTATGGCTCAAGGGATTCAGCTGGAGCGAGAGAGATTCTGCTGCTCTCTCTGCACCAATCTGCTCAGGGATCCAATGACCATACCTTGTGGTCACAACTTCTGCATGACCTGCATCAACAAACACTTGGACAATGAAGCACCGTCAGGCATCTACAGATGCCCTCAATGCAGTGAGTTCTTCATATCGAGGCCTACCTTGGTTAAAAACAACGTGATAGTACTAGTAGTTGAACAACTGAGGAAGACTGAAGTCCAACCTGAAGTTCCAGCTCTATACCGCGATACTGACTCTACAAATGTGGCTTGTGATTTTTGCTCCGAGAGGAAGGTGAAAGCTGTAAAGTCCTGCCTGCAATGTATGGCTTCCTACTGTGCTACACATCTCCAGCCTCACAATGAGGTGCCTCCTTTAAGGAAACACAGGTTAGTGGAACCAACTGCAAGTCTCGAGGAGAGCATCTGTCCTGTGCATCAAGAAGTGATGAAGATGTTCTGCCAGACCGATCAGCGGTGCATCTGTTATCTCTGTGCCAAGGACGGCCACAAAGGCCACAACAAAGTCTCCATGTCTGCTGAAAGGACGGAGAGGCAGAAGGAGCTTCAGGCGATTCAGCAAAAGATACAGCTTAGGATCGCAGAGAAGACGAAAGATGTGAAGACTTGTCAGCAGGCGGAATATGCAGTAAGTCACGCTGCTGATGGTGCACTGAGTACAACTGAACTGGTTTTTACAAAACTCATTGAGAGAATAGAGAAAAAACTCTCTCTTATGAAGGAAAAGATGAATTATCAACAGAACATTGAACTGGATGTTTTTAGAAAAGTTCGGAATAAGGTGGAGGACGAGATTATGGAGTTGAAAAGGAAAGATATTGAACTGGACCAACTGTCCCACACAGAAGACCATGTTCACTTTTTGCTGAAATATCCGTCACTGTCTCGTCTCAGTGTCCCTAAAGAACAGCCAAGCATCAGGATCCGCCGCCAGCGTTACTTTGATCGAGTTCCTGCTACTGTTTCAGAGGCCAAAATGAGACTGTATAAGGTTCTCGATGAAGAATGTGAAAAGATTCTGCTTGCAATTACTAACTCTACGGCTTTGCCTAAAATGCCTGAACCAAAGCCTGAAGAGAACATCAGGAAGCCCAAACCTAATTTCTATAACACTGTAGAAATTTCCAGACCAGCACAGAGACAGACCACCACTCAGTTCATGCAAGCCAAACTCTTGCAGAACCTTGATAGTACCACACCTTCCAGACCTAGCTATTTAAAACCCCAACTTCCTGAGCCCAGTGGTAACTTAGGACTTCCCAGACAAAAGTTGGAAGACTTACCCAGCAGTGAATACTTTACTGACAACCAGGCTACATTTGAACCAACCAGAAACTCCTTCCCTGAGAGGGGAGATGACAATCCTGATGTTATACCACTAATCGATAGACCGATCAGTCCTGGAAGCGGCATAGGAAATGTTTTAAAAACTAGAGGAAACTTTCTAGAACATGCCTGCCAAATCACACTGAATCCAGACACTGCATTCTCCAAACTATTGCTAACTAAGGAAAACAGAAAAGTAACATTTGTAAGCGAAGAACAGGATTATCCCAACCACCCAGAAAGGTTTGCTTACACCTGGCAGGTCCTGAGTCAACAAAGCCTTTCTGGCCGCTGTTACCTGGAAGTGCAGAGGAGCGGGAAAGGAGTCATGGTGGCGATGGCTTACAAAGGCATCAGCAGAACTGGGACCTTCAGCGACTGCATGTTTGGACAAAACAGCATCTCTTGGGGTCTTGATTGTTTTAAAAACAGTTGCGAATTCAGACACAACAAGAACAAAACTCCCATCCCGGGCACATGGTCCTCCAGAGTGGGAGTTTACCTGGATTATAAAGCTGGTATTCTGTCCTTCTACAGCGTCTCCGAAACCATGACTCTCCTCCACAGAATCCAGACCACATTCACCGAGCCACTCTACGTTGGACTCTGGCTCTCAGATGGCGCAACTGCTGAGATCTGCAAACTAGTGTAGAGCGGAGTTTTCAGGCTTTGGACGTTCAGAACTGAAACTGGGATGTAACCAATAAGTGGTGTATGTGAATAAGTCAGTGCACTGGTGACAATAATGTCTGAAAAATACAGAATGCATCTGTATTTTATAATGACTCTAGTATGTCATTTTGCCTCTTGTGGTGAATTTTTAATTTCATACTTTGAAAGTTTTACTTTATAAAATGGAAAAATCTTTCAAACTATTGTATTAAAACTACACAACTGCTTTTGTGCTTGGAATAGGCCAGCTAAACATTTATTTATTGCTTTTTTGACTGTTAACACTTTTTTGTTTTTCTGTAACTTTTGCTATTTTTTTCTCATAATTTTGAAAATAAAAGACTTGGGCTGCAGCAGAAAATTATAGTTATTCTTTATTTGTTTCTGCATTTGTCAAAAGTTAAATCTGTCCTTTAGCATCTTCATGCTGAAATAGAGATGTTCACACACATAAACTCATGCAGTGAGGAGTATTAACTTCTCTATCAGCACCTCTTTATCTTCCAAAGAGAAGAAAAAGAGGCGCTTTTCCTTGTAAGTGGTTATAAACAGCACATAGTTTATAACAGGAAAGATTCTTTATTACACTTTAATAGTTCAAAACTAATACATTGAATGTAGCATCAAAACCCGGTTTCAGCTCCTCAGAATATGATAAAATACATTAATTATTATCAGTCTTCAGAGATTATTCTGGTTTTTCAGTTTCAAAACAAAACCTTTTCAAAATATCCTTAAATACATCATAGGAATATATAAAGTAAATATATAAAAAGGTAAAACTACATTACATTGTATTCATGTCAACACATTTGGTCATGACTGCAGTGTTAATTTGATCTGGTATACATTAACAAACTGCCCTGTCCTTCTGAACTTCTGTATTTGTGTTCAGCGCACTAATGATTCATTCAGGTTGCTGTTCGGCATTCCTCTCATTGTTGGTCTGGGAAAACCTGAATAATGCAGCCACTATCGCTCAGAGCTTCATAAACTCTAGAAACGTGTTTCAGTCCAGAAGGAATAAAGGCCTGTGGAAAAGTTTGCACAATGAAACTTGAAGCTACTTTTTTCTTGTTTATTGCTAATAAAAATTGCACCCAAACATTTTATTGCCTAAAATGCAATAACATGGCATTCATTTAGTTTGTAGCAAAGGACGAATCTTTAGCTAAAACATGTTTGGCAAAGTTTGTATACTCCAGGTAGCAATTCATCAACTATTGACAATTATTTTAGCAGTCGATTAATCATGATTAATTGTGATTAATTGATTCACTCTGGATGCTTTTTTAAAATTATTATTATTGATTGCTTAGAAGGTACATCATTACATCATGGGAGGTTTATTTATGGCCACTTAACTCTTCATCATAAATATTAATAGCAGCAAATGAACTACTTCCTTGTATTTCTCAGCAGTAGCTATGGTGACATGCAAGGAATGTCACCTGTGTGACAGTCGGAAAATTTTCCCTGCAGAATTCATTCAGGTGCCACAGAGACTTGATGTCATAAATGTAATGAGCTGTGATCACGTGTCAGACTTCTATTCACTGGAAACTTTTTGGCTTTGTTAGATTTGAAACCCTTTGAAACATCCCAGTTTGAGTCAAGATGGCTCTACACAGAAAAAATAAGATAGATCAGTGTACCAGGAAATATTTAACTGCTATTCATTATTTAAAGAGGACATATTATACAAAATTGCATGTTTTTGTACTTGAGTTTCTGCTCCTTCTTAAAACAGCAACCCAAGCGTAATTCTGCCTGTTTTCTAGCAACCCAATTATTGCTCCAGCCCATTTTGATATCTGGTTTTACTGCTGTATGCGCTGTACAATGGCTGCTGGAAAAGATAAGTGTTATGTTGTTGACCCGCCATCCAGAAACCTCTCGCTGCATTCTTGTTGATTGTGCAGGAGGCTCCATGTCTGCTTTTCAAAGATGCATCTGTTCACACTTGCACTCAAATGTTGAGTTGGGGAACATGGATAACAGCAACTTATTTGCATTAAAAGTGACAAGAGGCTCTAAAATAGCTCATTCTGAACTTAGAACTGAGCATACTAAAATGTCATTATTTAAGAATGGTTTTGTGGAAATAATGCAATGAAAATATTTAGTGTCGACCATAGACGTATCCGAAACTTTAAGGCGTAAGTAGATTAGGAGCAGTCTGCTTGCTGAGCATGTTGGATAAGGAAAACTAAGGGCAGCTACTCTGAATCTGGAGAAGAGGGGAATCCGTCCATCCATCCATCCATCCATACATCCATCCATCCATCCATCCATCCATCCATCCATACATCCATCCATACATCCATATATCCAGACTCCCCAGAGGAAACAAGAGAGATGCCTGGTAGTCATTAAACGCTTGGCTAATCAACTTTTAGCTCCTCTCCTGAGCAGCAGCAGCTCTCTGAGGCGCTCTGAGAGCTTTTAATGAAGACGGACGAGGGTGGAAGTGTGAGGCGCGGACGGATGGTTGTAGATCATCAGCGGCTGTGGAGAAGTGGTAGCTGTCAGTTGCAGTTAGGTAGTTATGATCAGACTTATTGATTGGTGTCTGCAGAGGAGTTTTTTCCACATCTGTTTAAACAAAATATTTGAGGGTATCACCACTAAAATAAACGATAATAAAGCACTGCCGTGTTTTTATAACTGACTGGACATTCTTTGGTTTGATATAATTGCATTAGCTTCCAAAGCAATACGAGTTTAAATTCTTTAAATAGTTTGGTTTCCTGGAGCTGTTGCATTCCTTCTGGGGTCCAGAGGACTATTAATAGTTCCTCCAATGACTAATCGTGGATCAGAAAGTTTCGACACCTGACACCAACAGAGAATAATTAAACCTTAAATCCGCATTACACTAATATTTTCTGTTTTTTTTTTCTTTTTTGTATCTCCACCTTTCAGAGTCTAAAACCTGCCAATTGAATCTGTGAATTTTAATAATGTTCATTATCCCACCTGGCTCTTCCAGGAATGGATTCCTCCATGGGCCAGGAGAGGAGAACACCGGTCACCCCCTCCTCATCGTCCCGCTACAACCGCCGGCGGTCGTCGGGCTCCAGAGATGAACGCTACAGATCAGGTAATATGTCTAAAATATTTGTTTCAACTGGGAAACATCTGGACTGCTGCTGCTTTCAGATGAGTTATTTCATTGGTTGCTGTTCAATTATCAAACAAACCCAATTGGTCTGACATTCATAGATCCACTAACATAGAACACAATGATTGAAAACAGTCACTGTTTAATAATCTGGTAATATGACCTCTTTAAAGTTATGCAAAAATTCTAATCGTTCATGTTTTTATGCTTCCTTTTGGGTTTATACTGCTTCTTAAACACCCAGCTGTTTATTACAACAAGTTAGTATTTTATGGCCAGGTATGGCTCCAGTAGGTTTGGTCAGCTGGTTTTACCGTATTGTACAATGGCTTCTGAAAAAGACATTCTTGTTGTTTGTGCAGGAGGCTCTAATTTTGCTTTTCAAAGATTTAGAGCTGGATAATTGTTTTTTTTTTTTTTTTTTTTTGAAGCACTTTGGTTGTTTTCAGAAGCTGTAGATCTGTCAGTGAATCTCATTCAACATAAAATGGTAAATTGGAGCTGGTGACATTTTTGGCTTATATGAAACACCTGGGATACTCTAATTTTGCGCTCAGATGCTAAAGATGAGTTTAATTTTAAGCTTAATTGGATGAAAAAAACTTCTAGGTATCATAAGGAAAGGGAGAATCCACCGGGACATTTTTAACAACAAAGTCACTTCTACGCTCTCTGCAGTGTGTCAACAACAAGACAATAAAAGTTCAATTTAGATTGAAACTACCTCCCTCCTCTACAAAAATACACACACACACGCCAAGTAAACACACATCTGAGAGCTGCTTTCATCCTGACTAATGTCTCACTTATGCCATTATGGAGCAAATGGTCTCTGTATCGTCTGTCGTCGTGTTTGCCTTCTGCAGACAACAGGCTCCTCTCAAACAAACCCAGCTGTGGCTCAATCAGAATGCTTTATCTCGCTGCTAGAAACATTCATTTACAAAACGTCCTCGTCTACTTCTGCCTAAACTTAATCTGGTTGGAAAGCACAAGGCCTCATGGGAGCTGCTGTCAGCCGGGGGATGGTTGTGTACGAAACTCAATGTGAGGAAATGGGAACATGGTGTTGATTGTAAAAGGAATGCTGCTTCATGAAGGCTGGATAATAAACCCACTGGTGATTCCTGCAGAAAGCTGGAAGTCTTTAATATTTACTCTGCCTGGAAAAGTAACATTTAAGTGTTTTGTAATGAACTTCAAGAGAATGTTGTTGGGGAATTTTGCTTTAGAAATCCCCTGTGGTGGTAAATTATCGCACGTTTCCATGTTAAACACTCATTTTAACAGAGCAATAATCTTTTTTTCTCTTCTTTTGGCTATGTTTTTGTATATGTCGTTGTTTTTTAGATCTGCTGTTTAGATGACTTGTTAGGGCCACTGTAGATAGAAAACTGAAATTTCTGAGCTCAAAGAATTGTAAATTTGCAAGAAAAAATTTGAATTTTAAAAAAAATCGTAAAAACTTTTACAAAAAATAAAAAATTTTAAGCTAAAAAAAGTCTCAGAAATGTTTTTTCACAAAAAAATCTGAATTTGTAAAGTTGTAAATTTGAAAGAAATCTCAAACGTTGAGATTAAAATCTGATTTTCTTATTTTTTTGGCAAGAATTTGGAAATTTCTGAGCTCCAAAAGTAAAAAAAAAAAAAAAAAAGACTGCAAGGAAAAAACTCTGAAATATTAAAATTAATATCAGAAATTTTCTTGGAAAAATGTGCGTCTGTTTTGCTGCTGGTAAACCACGCTCGATTTTTACTTCTTCTATTTGTCCCCTTCACTGTAAAACCAAAATGTTGTGAATGTGTTTCCAGATGTGCACACGGAGGCCGTTCAGGCGGCCCTGGCGAAGCATAAGGAAAGAAAAATGGCCGTGCCGATGCCTTCTAAGCGCCGATCGCTGGTGGTCCAGACCTCCATGGACGCCTACACACCACCAGGTAGAACTAAACTACCCAAAATTATTTCTAGCTCTGGATGGTTGAGGCTCAAAGCTGACATGTTTGTTGTTGTTTTGGGAGTGGCCCAACCTAAATCTGCAAATCAAGGGAGGGAAATAAATATTAGGGTGATGGTTAGGGCAAGTTCAGACCAAAAACATAAATGAATATCAGTGGAAACATGAGCAGAGATTGTCAGTAAAATTGTTTGATTGCTGTAAGGCAAACAAAGATTGTTTCATTCATATTCATAAGTTTTGGACATTTTGAACATGTAAAT